GAGCTGAAAACGAAATTGACTGAGTTTATCATTAGACCTGTAAATTTGTCTGTTTTCATAGTAAGTACGTTTAAGACTATTCTGTCATTTATATTAATGTAATACTTTTCATTTTAAGATGCATTTAAAACTCATAAGCCTACCTTAGAAATAATCCGAGATACTTCTACACAATGGAGTATTTTTGAACTCACTAAGTCTGTTCACATGAATGTTGTCAAATACAGGGTTATATATTTGCAAGCTAAAACTTTTTTTTTAATACAAAGCTTCCATTCACGTAAAAAAAGCAACAGAATAGTCATATGATCAGCTATTAACACTACCTGTGTAACTCCCAGATTTTTCTTAATACTTAAATATTGGGATATTTACAATTTAGCAAGCCTAAATATCTACTATGCAGTTTACGTTTATTTGAATATTACACATATTTGTGCATTCATCATGCTTTGAAGCTATCAGAGCTGAGAAACATGCAGAACATCTCCCTGTTCTCTTCACTAGGATGTAAGAGTATGCACATGTTTCAGGATCACATCAAAAAGAGAAACTGGCTGTGCCTCAGCCACATTAGATCAAAGATCTCCAAGGAACTTAGAGGCTCTGTCAGTAATGCAAGAGATTTAGCAGATTACATCTCGATTCTGCCCCAAAACCATTAGAAGGCACTGCACTTCTGTAATTACCTTTTTACTTATTTATTCACAGAGAAAATTAAAAAGAGTTCCCCAGTCTCTTGGTTGTTAGTTAACAACTTTATATCAAAAACAATCTTCCACCTTTATGCCAACACTGAACCCACCTTAGCTTTGCATGATCATGCCAACTCACAAGTGCAATTTACAAGTCCTTACAGGCATCCAACATGAACATTTTATAATGATGACAGGTGTTATTGTAACTACTTTCCTTAAGGAAAAACAAATCGAGCAGATTTCAAATGAGGTCTGTGAAAGAGATACATAAATGAAAACAAAGGTACCTCATGACTGCCAATGCTTAGCCATCAAAAATAAAAATGCTTTACACAGCAGACTGTCTTCCAGAGAAGCACCCGACAGTACCCATTTCTCACACTACTGTTGCACACTGGTCAACAGAGAACTGTGCTTTACCATGTCACATCTGTCCACTGACCTGAATTGTTCAAAGAACATCAGTGGTAAGAACTGTATTTCAACAACAATGTATTTTGAAGAAAATTATACACTACAGAAAACTGTGTAACTCAAAGTTCACACAGAAGTAACAGACCTATGCTGTTTTATAAAGTCATTAAATGACTCGGACATTGCACATATCACAGACATAATGAAACCTGTATCTTATCAGACTACCTGCAAATTAATCTTACTGACCATGAGAAGTGCTTACTTAACAATACTGAAAACTGAAGCAGCACAAGCACAGTCTCCAACAACATTTAACTCGTATTTGACAAAGAGAAATCTGTTCCTGAAAATTCAAGTACTGTGGTCTCCAAATCCATTCAATTTGTTATTCTTGCAATGAGGCAATACAAATGGATGCCAAATAGTGTAGCCACAAGTACAGACACAGTAAATCTTTCTTAGGAATTGGAATAAAGTTACCAATGCGTTCTGTTAGCCTCTCAGTCAGTAGAACAGTACACCCAAAAAGTCAGCATTCATTTCAAGTAATGTGGGCTACTTTCTTGGAGGGAAACTGTCCCACATATTACCAAAGCTCCATGCAACATGTGATCTGTTGGACTGAATTCAGGAAGGACAGACACTTTTGCTACATTTCTTTCACTTCCTTCCAAATAAACTGCACATCATATCCAGCAAGGCAGTCATTACAGACATTGCTTTCTTTAGTGACTTCCCACCTCCAGTTATCTCTGTAACTGCAACACACCATTTATAACGTTTATCTTTGATATCTTTACTCCTTTCAACATTCCATGGCATTTCCCACACAATTTAAAGTTTTTTTTGAGAGTTTAAACTCTAAAATAAATCTCTCAATTTTCTATTTGTGTAGAACTTAGCTACTGGATTTTACATCTGCACTGTGACTTCAATTACAGGAATAGGTAAGAAGCACAACAGAGTGAGAAGCTTACAAAAAAAATACATAGTATTTGTTGAAAGCGGGATACTTTAACTAAATTAGAAGTACATCAGTCATTAAGGAAGCCCCTTGTTAATTAGTCAGAAAGCATTTCCAGTGAATGCCCATCTGCAAGAGTTTCCAAGGTAGTCCACAAAGTTGATACCCCTTTCAAAAACCTACTCATAAAACTTTTCAGTAAGGCTTAGGCTTTTCTAAACATCCAAAACACCAAAGGCTCCCACACATACAATCACAATTTGTAACTGATATATACCACAAATGTAGACATATTCCATCTGCCATCTTAAAAGCACAGAAATCCTGAACTACACTTCTCCCTCATTATTCTTATTACAAATTAAAAAGAATGTAGTGATACATAACTTTCCAAACATGTAAACAGTCCACATTTCAAAGTCTGCATTTCTAATATTGTGAAGGTCTTCCCGGTCTCCTTGAACAAAAATGGTGTGACAATAATGGAGCCTTATCCAGGCAGTATTAACACTGCAGAATAAGGAAGTTGAGGCAACCTCACCATTGCTAGGTATGAGTCACTCAAAAACTGAAACATTGTAAAAATGTTTTAGAGCAATCCTAAAACTGAACAAATATAAACTAACAAGTAAAAGAGCAGCCACATAAAAAAAATATAATCAGTATTGCAGTAATATTTCCTAGGTGGATCTGACTAATCATCTCAATATATATCCCAGGCATTTTGAAAACTAAATTAAACTGAGAAGATAACAAATGCATCATAGTGGATAAAAATATATTAAATACCATAAGAGATACAGGTGGGAGAACATATGTTGTCTTTGGAAGTGATACACAGGCTGGCAGGCTGGTTGCTTCACCCTCTTTGAGGGGTGAAAAACCCACTCTTTTCTGTTAGTCATCCTTCAAAGTTCTGCAAGAATCATATTTCTAAAGCAAGAAAATTACCATGTGCACTCTTTTTAAAAAACATGCATGCTAACTAGCTAGTTCTCTAAATATCAGGTATATACACGCTAAGATGGCGGCATGTGCTCACCTGATATTTTGCTGATAAGAACATGGGACCCTCCGTCCCTTGCCACCTTTCTACGATCTTCAGAGCAGGCAAGAAATAAGAGGGGCCATTGACATGTGTAACTGTACCTTAAAATCACCATTCATCAGAATTGGACTACCAGTAGGTCAGGGGAGTTGAAAAACTACCTACAGTATACAAAAGGAGCTGGTTCTCCTCCGAATCTTAAGTGCAATGCGCATAATAAGGCATTCAAGCACTAACAGAAGGTAAAAGGAGGTCAGTGCTCAGGGAGATCAGGCACACACAATTTCTAAGGCAAGGAGCTCCATTCTGCACAGTAGGATGGGAAAGAACAAAAGATGTCTCTGCATGCCAACTTTCTCCTTCGTGCTTGGGAAGAAGAAAACCATTTCAGTAACCGAATCCCATCTACTGGAAAAGGGAAGCATCTCAGTTGAAGATAGAAGACACTTCCTAAACATAAACCCACCTTCATGGTATAGGAATTAAAACAACAAAAAAAAAAAACCAAAAAAAAACCACCACAGAATAAGAAACCAAAGCACATGATCTCAATGCTAGAGCAAGGAAGGAAAGTATCATCTTCCACTTTCAAGTAGACAGTGTATCAGCCTAGGTACCTCACCAACTGAGCAGGATTAGAACAGAAGCTAAATGTAATGGAAGCCAAGTCTCCTCTAAAACTGTCTGAACACACTTTCTCCAATACAGAAACCACCTTACACATCTCGGCATTACCCTTCAAAATTACTTACTCCAACTTTCTTGGAGTCAGCGATTTTACTATCTGCTCTGAAGTACACAAATGGCATTTCTGAAAGAAACTCGAGAACAGTTCATTTACGTGACTTCACTAGCAAAATGTTACCTCCTTCCCATTGCATTTGAAGTGTCTATTTGAAGACACAGTACAAATTAACTAGCAATGCAAAAACCCAACAAACACGAAATCTCTCAGTTCTTCACTGGAAGGTCTACCCCACACTGCATGCACTTGCAGATAAAGCAGTTTCTCTGTAAACATTTAGTTTAAACCCGAGCTGTAAAGCCGTTAAACCTCAGGGGCTGCCCTTACCTCGCTAATCCTTTGGAAGAAGAAATCAAGCTCCGTTGACCTGCAGGACAGAAAGTCACTTGCCCCACTCAGTTTCCTCTAGGAGAAATGAAATTGCTAACTCCAATGCCTTTGAAAACTGCTTTACCCAGAGCCTTCAAACAGAAATAACAGTAATTGAAAAATTTCTCTTAAAGCACTCAAGAGATGTGGGAATTAATTCTCACACCCATGAAGCCAAGACCTGGAGTGGAAGTTTCTTGCTTCAAGAAACTGTTAACAAAGGTTTTCGCACAGAAATATATTCCTGAAGGGAACTGGCAAAGCTTACTATTACACATTCCCTGCGCGCAAAAAAACCGACCCTAGAAACTGACATTTTCCTCTTCATATTCAGGGAAAGGAAGAAGTCAGGAAATGCACTGCTCAAGCAGACGAGACCTTGAAGGGACAGAGGCTAAGAGAGCCTTCGCGCTTTCACAGAACAGGTAAAGCACACACCAGCAGCACAGCAACGCGCGGCGGCTCGGCCCCGCGGGGCGCTGAGAGAAAGCGGCTGAGGAACAACCGGACCCCCCAGCCCCCGAGCGGGCTCGACCGCGACCATGACCGCGACCATCGGGCTCTGCGCGAGGCACGCGCCGGCCCCCGCCCTCCCGCAGCTACGGGAGATGGGGCGCGCCCGCCCCGCCCGCCAGGGATGAGGGGAGCGAGCGCCAGGGGCAGCCGAGCTCTGCTTCCTCCCTCTGCCAGGGCCTGCCCGCAGGGAGGTAGAGGGGTTTTACCCGAGCAGCAGTGGTGAGGGCTTGAGGAGGAGGTGGGGAGCCTTCTGTCAAGAGAATTGAAGGAAACCCCGCTGGCAGAGGGGGTTGCTGTGGGGGTCTCTGGAGGGACGCAGGTGGTGACAGGAGGCGCCGCTCTGACACAGCGCCTGCACAGGGAGTTGGGCCAGGTCGGGCTTTCTTAACTTCTCGCTGAGGAGAAGCGAGATGGGGAGGACAGTCCGAAGCCCCTCCGGCCCGTGGGGCTGGGAAACGAGCGACCGTAGGGTGAGAAGAGGCTGAATCCAAGCTGTGGAATCGCACGGTTTGCCAAGGTGGGAAAAGGGCGGTAACTGCTCTCCACAGCATTTTACCCTCAGAGCAGGGCAGCGAGGGTGGGATCAGGCTTGAGACGGAGGAGGCTTTACATCCTCAGCTTCAACACAGGGAAATGAAGGACCAGCGGAGAAGCGACTTGATGGAAGGGGGGGAGAGACCTTCCCCGCTTCTCCGCCCTCCGAAGGGGGGAGCTGGGGAAGGGCCTGCTCGTTCTCGGAGGAGCTGCCGTGAAGGGATCGCGTACGAGGGGCCGCCCTGGGCATGCACCTGGAGGCACGGGAATCGGCAATAGAAAGCAAATCCCAAACAAACAAATAGTTAAGTGAAACCACTGATTTAAAAAACCACCCAGAAAACTAACCCTGACAAGTAGGATTTGCCCTCCTCCTGACTGCACTTATTGGCCGTGCTTATTTGCAACGAGCTTGGATTTGCCAATGCAAGTGGTCGGTTGCTGTGTCCATCAAAAGGGAAATATCAATTCGCCGCTAAGGGAGTAGATTCCCATCCATCCATCACAAGGCTTAGCAGGTAGCCGCCTAGAAATCAATCACTTAATTAAAAAAAAAATATATATATACATATATATTCCTTCTCCATCATATTATTACTCTGGTAGTCTCAGCAAAACAGATATGTAATCCTTGATGGATATATGCGTGGATTTTATCATATGCATCACTCCAACCTAAGATGATCTTTAAAAAAATGATAAATCACACACCATCATAAATGAGGTACCCTGTAAGTATCCATTAATTATATAACTGCAAAATAATACATTAGTTTGTTTCCATTCGCCAGCCACTAGAAGGGAGCAGAAATATCCCACTTTCTTCCTGACACGATTTTAAAACACCAAACATGATCCAGTATTTAGGTATAAAATCTTTTTAAAGCTGATCGGTTCTACCCTAGAAAACTTGAATAATATTTTAAAACACTGGGCACAAACAATGAGACTGATGGCTGCTTTTAATAAAAATAGCAAGAGAGGTTTCTGGTTAACGATTCTGTAGGGAGAGGCACTCTGTTACCAGAATAAGATGTACACTTGGTCCCATTTATTACACTGTATCTCTGAAGCAATATAAAAAGCCTGTTCTGCAAATTCATTTCCAGTTTCAGCTACCAGACAGCTGTAGAAAGCAATATATAGCAATTTCCTTAATCACAGTACATTTGCAGTAATGTATTATAGCCATATTCCTGTTTATGCGTCTCACCTTTCAAATCATTGCCTCTGTGTCTCGTCCTCACATGGATTTTACAACATCACGTTTAGCTGACACCTCATTTGCTCGGAGGAAGGAGGCAGCAGGGCGAGCCGGAGCAACCGAACACCCGCGAGGGGAGGAAGAGGGGACCTGCTGCAGCCGGGAGAGGCTTGTGTGCTCCTGTCCCTTGTCTTTCCGTCCCTCAGCGAGTCCCTCTCAGCCAGCTGCGAGCCTTGCCTGCCTGGGCTGCCGGTCCCTGACTCAACATTCCCAGCATTCCCGAGGAGCCAGGGCTCCGCCAGCGCCGGGCAGCCCGCCGCCGGGGGCAGCAGCAAGCTCGCCGGCAGCAGGCAGGCACCACTGGCAGCAGCAGCAGCACACGTACTGCAAACCCATGGATTTCTCTGAGCATTTGTCTCTGTCCATTCATTGCAAACCTCTGGGTTCCAGCTCCCACCCAGCAAACGTCTGAAAGGAAAGTGTGTTACTCATTGTCAAATGGCCTAAAAATACACCTGTGCCTGCATAGAACTGCAGAGGCAAAATTGCTTCCTTGTCCCTGTTCACCAAAGACCAAAGAAACTCAAAGCCAGCTGCATAAGAACATGGTATCTAAAATGCATTACTATATGTGCCTACATACACAGGAAAAATAACCCCAACTAAATCTGTGTTCTGACTGAAGTGTACAAATAATTAAGACACTTGTTTGTGTTTAAAAAAATAGTATTCAGAAAAATAGATTAACTATGTGAAGCCTGAAAGCCTTTTCTCATCAGAAAACTACATTAAAAAAATACTCCTGATGTTTTATTTATTTAGTTTTATACTAAGGACAGTGAGGGAAACTTCTATAAACCCCACTAGCTTCTCATTCTAGGAATTAGGGTTTTTTTTTTTCATCTTCTATTTTTCCCCTCTTCTCAAATTATATATTTTAACTGCTTTTGATAAGTTAGAACTGATCAGCCTCAGTCCTTAGCTTCAATGCAACTTCATACCTTACCCTACAGAGAATATCATATATTTCATCTGCCTCTTAACCACATTGCTGCAACAATGCTTTTAAAAGCACTTAAAATCAGTAGTTGTTTTACAGTAATTGTTATTTTATTCCTCTCCTGCCCACACATGCACCTATACATGCCACTATTAAGCATTGATAAGAAATGCTTTTATTGAATTACCATTTAAAACTATGTCAAATGAAATTGATTTCAACCAATTATGTTTAAAACTAACATAATCCCTTCATTGCTGTGTTCAAATTATTCAAAGCCAGTTGGAATAGTTTGCTGTCATGACTATTTATTCAGAGATGCAAATATTTGAAACAATGCTAGAACGCCATTCACAATAAAAATACAGGATTTTTCCCCCAAGAAAGGGACATACTCTTAAAATACCTACCCCAACTATAATTTCAATATGGGACAAATACTTTTTTCTGAGTCCAAAGTAATGGGATAGGCCATGATTAAAATATAAACTTCAGCTGCTTTTCAAGCCTCATATTCATTTGAGGACATATCTATTAAAATAGTTATAAAACCATTGAAATTATGGGCAGAGAAAATCTTCCTGGAGAAACTGACAAGAAAGAACATGGTTTTGTATACAAATAATTTCACTTGATCTAGAAAAAAAAACAAAGTATTCTTGAACAGTTAGCAAGTCTGCATCTGTAAGGAAATTAATAAACAGTACAGAATGTGAGTCACTACACTGAATGCTTCAGAGCACAAGTGTCCATTTTCAAAAGTTTAGTGTTTAATTCAAATTTGGTGTGCAATAAGAGTATCTTAAAGACCCGTCTCAGTATTGCTAATAATGACAACAGGACTTTTATTCCAAGTGGTGTCAACTGCTGACAGTTTTTTTGAGCAATATCACACTGTCCCTGTCTATATGAAAAGACAGGAACATCAGGTTCTGCTTTATCTTTTTTGTGACTCATTCACTGGCAAAGGTTATGGGCCTTGTGACAGCCTGCACAAACCAGGACTATACTGACAGAAGAGCAGTAGCCTAACAATCTTCTTTCCAAGGAGCAGTCATTGTGGGAGGACACCATAGAGCTACCATAAGGTTGCAATGAATTAAGCTTGCTATCCTTCAATAAAGCATGTAGCAGAACTAATCATAGACCATCTTGGAGCAGCAGATCATCTGCAAGGGGAGTGCCTGCAGTGCAGTCAATAGCATATATATACCCACTATGGACAAGACTCTTTGGCATAGAGCTTTGTGGGGAAAAAAAAAAAATGTATTTTGCCAAGATGTATTCTGAAAAAGTTGTTATAAAAACATGCAGTTCAAGTAAATGGAAAAAAATAATCAGCATTTTACAACTAATGTACTTACTGTATTAGCAGAAACAGCATCCATGCATCCAACCTCAGGGTCACATAATCCAAACCCTTCAATAATATTCATTCCTTACATTCAAAACCATGCTGCAATCCAAAGGGCAATAATAATAGTATGTACTTAATACTGACTTCTTTGCAGCTGATACAAGTTCTCATTTCAGTCTAACCACAGGAACATCTATGTTGTCTTTTGTGTCCTACTGCAGGTGAGTACCATTAAGCATGACAAGAAGCAAACTGGAAAATGTGAGTAAACTAACACTTCTTTTTTTTCTTTTTTGTTGCAAGAGGCTCTAATGCATTAACTATCAGATACATCTTTCAGCCAACTGTTAGAGGAAATCTGTGTTATAAATCAGAATTTAATTTTTACAAGTGTCATGTAACGCTATACGTAAGGTTTGCACTTTGCAATACTTTTTAACCTTCAGATATATTTTTGCCTGGGCACTTGTGTTTATTTTCTGAAACTGACTGTTTGCTTTCTAAAAAACTTTCTACCCTAAAAATGCAACATATTCATTGTTCCCTTTGCGCATATCATACATCAGGAGCTATGAAAACCCCACTGAAATTACTGACAAGATTAATTTTATTTACATGAGACTAAGGCCCTAAATCATTGAAGTACCTACAAAATACAGATTTTAAAGTCTGCTATTTTCCTCAGCATATGCTATACTGATTTTGGAAACAGCAAAGTATAAAATGTACTCTTATAATTTTACTGTTTAGTTATTCTAAGTATAAATAATTCAAAACAACATTAAAAACATATAATGTTACTGATTGTCCTCAGTTCCTGTGCCTCCCTTTATCCAACCCAGCTCCCCCTTCTCTTGTTACCTGTGGTTACACTTTAGCAGCAGCTAGCTCCCTTTCATACCTTGGGGAAGATGTATGCTGCTCAATGCTTCATTTTTCAAAAACAGAAATATAAACATAAATGGTGCTCAGTCACTGCTGCTGCATAATTAAGAGCAAGCATCTGCAGCTGTATGCTTTAAAAACAGAGGAAAAGGCATTTTAGCTTTATTCCATTGAACCTGGCTCTGATGTATTCGTCTGTGGTTCCCCAGTGGCAGAGCTTTCATTTTCTGTTACAAAAGCTAAGTCAAAAACATGATACAACAGTCTACCTGTTAACCAAAAATTAAAAGTGAAAATTAATTGTAAAAATCAGTGTATTATTGCATTAATGTATGAAAAACTGAAATACTTTCTCACAAAAACACCTATGAAAACTACAGCAGAAATCAAAACAACAGAACGACATGGCAATTGTTAGAAACATGGGAGCTTCTTAAGCAGAAAGAAAGATGATAATGCAGGTCAGCATTATTGTTTTGATGGTAAAAACCAGAAATATATAGGTAATGCTAGACTATCATCAAGAAATGGAATCACTAATTCTGCTTACCCTATGTTGCAATACAAAGCAAGTAAATGTGGTAGCAAGGTCCTTAACAAAATTTAGCTATTTATTGCTTTCACAAGCACTTTTAAAGCTAGTTATAATATTCATATTCTCAGCAGTGGTCAAATCAGAAAATTACTTTCATAATGCAAGTTCTTCCCAACTGGTAAGGTCCAGAAAAAAAAGCAGATTAACTGAAATGTGCAAGAAAACTTACTTTCACATGGAGTATACTGACACTCCAAGGCATAATTGAAAAGAAAACCCACTGAATGAAACCACACTGTGGTGATCAGACTCATGGTGATTACTTGACCCGAACCAAAGAAAAAATTCCAAAGAAGATCACTGAAACAAGCTTAAGTTTTCAGCTTGATTTCAGAATGAGTCCCTTATTAGTTTGGTCCTTGGAGTTATTGCCCCTGTCAGTCAGTACTTTACAGAACTACACTTTTTTATCTTTATCAGTTCAGATATCCACCTCACATATCTGTCAAATTGAATCTTAAATCACCAAACATTAGAATCCTTTACTTTCTTCATGACAGATCCCAATCAAAGTCTGCTGCTCTGGTTTTAAAAATCATTATTATAGTTTATTTCTTTTTAGTCTAACAACAGCACATGCCTTATGGATGATGGAGAAATGTTACTTTGAGATACATAAATACACAATATGCTGTTGTGGAATTCATTATTATGCAAAACCAAACAAGAATTTAATTATTTTTTTTGTAATTGCATAATTTAAGCAACTTATTATGTACTGCACTAATAATCTATTCAGAATAGAAATAGTTCTCTGGCACATGCTGTTAATTGCATTGTTGCAAACAGAACAAAAATAGCCAAATTATTTAACGGTAAAAATACTCATCTAACAAGTTTTTCAGCTGCCACATCTCAAAATGGGGCTATTAATAGGCTTATTTCAACTGTACAGTATATTTCAGACACCTAACACTTCTTCCAAAAATTCAGACTCCAGTGGCCCCTAACAGTATCCAGTTAATCTACTATAGAACATCTTGAATTAGGTTTAATATTTGAAGACCTAAAATTTTATCAATGGTTATTTGCCTAGTTGGACTTTCTTTTTCTGGAAACAGAGTATTACTGCTGCCACTATTTTACATGCCACTATACTCAGTGTCTATACTAGAGCTGCTGCTAAATGAGCATTGAATAGTAAACTCTTAGCTCATTTTTTAAAATCAGTTAGTACACTTCAGAGCTGGAGCCCAACAGGCTTTTCAGTAAGGCTTCAGCATTTAAATGCCTATTTTATTCCTGAAAAGTCAATCTAAATATTAAAACTTCTACTTACAAGCATCAACAGGGTGCAATTTGTCTGAACACAATTGACATTTCCCTCTCAATTCTTCAGTGGGAGAAAACAGATCTCTTTCCTTACTTAGGAGCTCAAACACTGCAGTGAAGCTGGAAGGTACAAACAAAATCAGGATCATAGGATTGCTAACCCCCAACATATCACATTTTCTCAGCAGAGCTACAGGTCAGCTGCTTGGTAAGGGAACCTTTTATTGGTAAGCCAGTCTCCTCCGATTTTAAACAGCTGGTTACTAAAGTCTAGGTTACTGCCTTAATCATATTCACATGGTGGAAAGACTTTGGCAGGAACCAAAATGCCTAAGCTGAGTGGAGCTAGAAATGTGATCCCAAAATGGAATAAAATTTCTACAGTGGATAGCTCCCTAGGAGATCAAATACATTAAGGAACAATGTGAAAGTAGTGAAAAACAGTAGCCTGGTAGGACCTCTTCAATACTGACAGTGAACCTGCGGGTGCTTCATGGTTTTCATAGTAGTTGTGGATTCTGTTGAGGAAGCGCAAGTTCAGCAGAACAGCGAGAAGTATAATACGTCTGACCATGAATGACCCAACTCACACTAAATGCTAGTTATCTACTAATAACTGACATTACATAAAAGGCATGAGGTTCACACTACTGTTAGGTTTATAAGAAGAGGACTTGATAATCTTCCATCTGTTACTCTATAAAGACATGCTGAAGAGGATTCATAGAACTAGTTTTGAGAGGGTAACACTTTATATCCACTTCATAATACTCCACAGGATTACATAAAGTGTAAATTTATGGGAAATTAAGTTTGATGTTATATAGTAGACAATTTACAAGGAGTTTTTATAGGTGTTTTTATATATATACTAGTACTCCTCCTTGAAAACACAAAAAACCCTGCATAAGTTCCCCATTGAGAAACTATGATAAAAAAGCTCAGGTCCCCTCAATCTTCAGCTTCACAACAAAGTCCAAGAAGCTTTAAGAAATAAAAAAAAGAAAAAAAAAAACAAACTATGAGCTATGCTTCACTCGATAGCTAAAAATCCCCATTTTTTCTGCTTTCAGGGTTCATGATTATAGTTAGGGAATATTTTATGCCATCCCTACATTCTTTTAAAATTAATTTTTAATTAATCTGTTATACACACAGTTATACTATGTAAAAAAACATCTAGAGAACACAAGAGTGGAAGATTTCTATCCGTACCAATATATTTTTTTGCTTCATGTAGAACCTATGGTCACATATTAAGGAATACTGTATTCCAGTATCCAGACAGTTGTCATATAATGCATAATCTTCATTGAAGTAGTATTAACTTCATTGTCCTATTTTCTTAGTATTGTGGTGATAACTTGCAAAAAGATCTTATAACCATTGGATTTCACTTTTGTCATTGAGATTCTTGTCAGTGCTGTAACACAGAATAACTAATAGTACATGCCATTCTGAATACTTCATTTATGTTCTGGTCTTTGAAATTGAAGAAAGGTTAAAGATAGGCTTGAAAGTATCTTTTTTATGATGCTATAATTAAATATCAGTATTTCTATGATAATTCTGTGATATCCTGACTTTATGAAATATCAGGACTTCTCCCACATTTGAGTAAAACTTGGTCACTCTTTGAGGATCTAACTTCAAGTTAACTGACTTCAAGTGGACATAACTGGTTATACCCATTTATCTTGCCAGTTCTAGAACTAAAAAGAGATAATGGTCTTTTCCTCGCTTACTTTTTCTCCTTTTTACCATTTAGAACCAGCCCTGTGAACTACATGTAGCACATTTTATTAAATTTATCCAGAACCATTTTCTGGAATAAAGAGGAAATGGCTTAACATTATCTGGAGTCGTGCTTCTGGACTCTTTCAGCTCTCAAAATAGGGTGTTCCGATATAGATTTCTTATTGGGAACATAAACTTATGCTAGCTTCCAGATATGCCTTAGAACTGGGAGGGGAAGTTTGACTAGCTTGAAACACGACGAGTACTGTTCTAACAATTTAAGTTAAGTTCCAGTGCCAAGAAGAGCTTCCTGAACCCATTTAATTTACTAGGATAAATGTAACTGTATGTGAAAGTCATTCTATCCAGTTGATTCTGAAGACATTCTTTTCCTCTCTCTACAGAACTACTTAATGAGTAAGTTCTCCTCAGAACATGAAATGTGCCTTAAAAAAGGCCTATTAATTTTTAATGTATTGATGATTGTGAATGAAGTGCCTTCCTTAGTTTGGGGCATTTAGATACGGGGATCAAGTCATTATTGTCTTTTTCTGTATTCTACCCTTAAGAGTTTCTGCTTTCTTCGTTGCTCCAATCCCACTTTTACATCTTATTCCACTAGTATAGTTTGTTGATTATCTTTCTAAGAGCACTTTGTGACTTCAGTCACAAAACACAACCATGTTTTGCAACAGACGGAGTTATGTATATAATAGTAATGGAGGTCTACATGAAAATGAGCTGGTGACTTTTTTTTTCTTTATTCAGCTACATAGAAAAAAAAAAAGAAGAAGAAAAAAGAGAGGGCTCAGAAGTCAAAATAGAGAGGGAGAAATGTTTTCTAATTGCCAGCTTGACATTACATAACATTTCCCTGCAAATAGGTACAAAATGGCTGCTAATGTACAGGAATCCTTGTCAGTCTGACACATCTATTTCTAGTGGACTGCAAATCTCAGCATATGCAATTTGCAGGCATGAGTATGCCTGAGGTGTGACTGTGCGGTGAGGGAGAAGGTGCCTCTCATAACATAGTTCTTGCAAGTTCAAGGAATTTTTTCTTCTGCTATCACTTGACAAAATATTGTTTAGAGGGAAAAAATCCATATGTGTGATTATGCCTGACCTCCTTTGTCTATTTCTGTGGGCTTTCTCATTGTTTAATTCACTTTATTGAGGGAGTCAAATAAAAATTGAAAAGGTAACAGGAAAACATTAAACTTTAAAGCTTAGGAGCAATAACTAACAATTTTGTTTCCAACCAATTCTGGTTATTGATTAAAAAGACCATAGTAACTAATTTCCACATACTTTTGGTTCTTTATCATTTAGATGTAATCTTAGGAAGAAAATTTAATTGAAGCTGCTGAAAAATGACAGAAACCTCAAAACATAAGAAGCAAATATGGAGCCTATGAACAGCTGTTGCTCTATCCTTCCCTCACCTTTAAGGATGAAGAAACATGCACACTCCTGTCAATCCATTAGCATTGAATAGCACAATATTCTTTTGGCAGATGTGAAAAAAGCAGAAGAAAACCATCATCTCTGCTGAAGCCGTAAAGAAATGTTGAGGAGCAGATTCAGAACTCCCAGAAAAAATCAGGTGATAGAGACAAATAGAGTATTGGTAAAATTCTTTAATGAAATCACTAACTAAAGGAAGAAATATCAGTGCAAAATTTCTACAAATTTATCAGCCATACAGAAAGTAAAAGAAAGGCAATGGAAAGCCTCACAAGTACAGATTATTTCCATTGTACGAAAACCATATCCTGCTCTTCAGGATGTAAAACACCTATATACAAGTGAACTATAAACTATAAACTATAAATCACAAGATTTTTCATGTTGGGATAAAGGAATATTTTGCCGTGCAGTACTGAATTTATTCTGAAATCTTCAGGGCAATTGAAAAGCAAATATGTATAGCAAAAACAGACAGGCAAACCATATGTTACAGCATCAGCAGCCACTGTGAAGGGGAGAATAAATGCATTAATCACTGAAGTATAGCTCCATTAAAAAGATCTTTATAAACCATGAAAGATCAGACTACAATGCAGAGCGTAATTTCTTGATCCCCAAGCAGACTATGCTACTAGTGATTTATGAAAACTGTATACGACCATCTTTAATATAGAAGAACCATAGAGATACCTGGATAAAACAGGAGGCAGTAATTACACCAACAGGTTTCTTTATTTATATGCACTCACATTTCTCTGCTCCTTATTTAAATGTC